AATACACGACTGTAGACCGTCCCTACCGGACTATCCTTATTTTTGAAATATGCTTTTCGCGCGATCCCTCTGGCCTCTGTGTCGACCTCTGCAGTATCATATTCAATATGGGTTCCCATAAGTCGAGCAATAATGCAATATGCCGACGTCAGGTCCTGGGGTTACCGGACTACGAACAATATGGAAGAAAGTTCACACGAGAATTCTCTATTAAATCTGGATTTACCGTCGCCTTTTTTTCTACTCTCTTCTCCGCTTTCATCTCGTGGATCTTCTTTTTCGTTCTGCATCGGCAGATTTTAATAACGACCGCGATGGAACACATCGATGAGTCAACTAATAAAAATTCTATATCTGCGCTTTTTACGTGAAAAACATACGGATTTTCTGGTTGAAATACGTGCTTAGTGAATTGTATAAAATGGAAACTACAGAGGACAAATATCATGAGTCACTAAATATTTTAAGTAGTTTTTATAGAGGCACAGTTTTAAATTGCTGCATATTGTCAACCAATCCCGTATTATCAAAATTGTCGATTTGTTTAGTTCCTGTCATCCCCTTCAAAATGTTAAAAACACTGTTCATAATATTAAAGATATTAGAATATCTAAGAAGAAGAAATCATTATCTAATCCACTTTTTCTGACTTGTCTCGTTCAAACGCTTATATTTGAGGGATGCCCACATGTAGAATCACTGTATCAATTAGAAGAAGATTACAGATTCGTGAACGGGCCGGCTGTATCGAGCACGAAATGATTTACGATCCGCTTCGGTTATGCCCCCTTTTCTCATCGTAAATCGGAGCTGGCCGTCGCGTCGTCTTTATGGTTCGCAGATTCCAAGGCTCCATCTGCACGCCACGCCATAAAACTAGCTATACATATACCTATCCCTTTCTCCCTTTCCTTTTTTCCTGCATTGATCGATCGAGTCGTCGAACCACTTCCGTTATATATAGAGTATATAGCTCGTATTTTAGGCAACCACTCGTAAGCAGCTGCTTTTCAATAGCCGAAAAGGGAGAAACAACACGAAAGGAGACAAGCTCTAGCCGCACCTTTTCAGGGGCGAATTTTACGTGTTACCATACAGTTTCCAGGGAAAAGGTCAATTAATCGTGAGTAGGCTTAACGACCGATCGTAAACCTTTCCAATCTATTGATTATACGTGGTTTCTTCTGTGAGATGCTTTAATTAATGCAGTGTGCTCTTTGACATGTGTTCTAACGCTCAGAAGCATTTGTAGGTTAGATAACGGGACTTTAAGTTAAAAAATGAAATTATGGTAATCTCAATTTGCTATATAAAATAAAGGTTATGTTTCTAATGATTTTAGATTTAAACATTTTTTAATTTAAAAAATATAATAATACCGATCGGAGAATTCGTTTGAAGTTAAGTTAGAATTTTAGATCGGAAAATATTTTTTATTTTTATTCAATTACTGTGATTGTTATGCGATATTGTCATCACAGAATTATTCATTACTACATTGCTTAAATATAGTCCATAAGCTTTTCCTACTTAAGTATATGCTGGTGCTAACCGTTTCATTATAAGCTTACCCAGAGTATGATGAACATTATCTTAGGAATAATTAAAGAGCTGCCTTGTTCCTCCTTTTACCGACAATTTCGCGTTACGTTGCCCTCTTCATCAAAAGCGACCCCTCTTCCAAAAAGGTACTTAATCTCAAAGTACTACTCTATTCACTTCACAATTTCGAACTCATTAACGCAATCTCTTGTTCAAAAAGAAATTCCCTCCGTTACTACCTATTCTATAGCAATTTTAAAAGAAGGGTGAGTTCATAAAATAACCGATATAGTTCACATCTCTCATATCCTCTGAATACCATCAAACCAGCACCACGATATCCTCCAAAACCTCAGCTTCTCTCAACTCTGCAAGAATCCTTAAGTTCCTCTCAACATTCCTTCCTCTTCTCTCTCTTTCTCTCTCGCTTTTTCTCTCTCCCTATTCTTCTCCTACCGTTTCCCCTACCATCTTTCCCACTTCACCAATGATCCACGCATCGGACAAACGGTTTCCCCACTCCGTTACGCTGTTAATTCGTAGCGTACAAGGTTTATCTCCGGTCCAGTCTCACCTCCAGCCCTCTGATAACGCTTTAGCTTAAATTCAGCCGCCGGAGGCAAACCAGCGACTGATTTAAGAGCCTCCACCATCTCTGTGCGTCTCGCGTGCACACGTATACCTAGCGTAGGCTCGCGTCTGGAGGGGCGAAAAGCCCTAAACGGAGGCGTATGCCACCGGTAGATAGTCGACCGTGATAAGCTAAATGCTCAACGTCCCCTCTATTATAGGTTAGGTAGGCTGGAAGCTGCCTCGAGCGTAAACCGAACTATAACACCACCGGTGAGACAGATCGCGGAGAACATCGGGATATACCGGGGTTTTGGCTCCCACTTCCGTCCAACTTCCGCCAGATAAATGCTCTGCATCGACCGCGTCGATATGGAGGAGGCTGGAGGTGTGGCGAAGTTTCTTAACCTCTTCTTATAACTTAGCTTTTGATGAATTCTTCAATTCACATTATTATAATTTCCTTCGTAGTTAGTAGAAACATAATCTAGATTTATCAAATCCATCGATTGCAGAATAATTCTATTTTATGTATCAAATATGTGATTGTGTGTGTCACGTGGTCACAGGGTCTCGTTTACGTCTTAAAAAAGATATTAATGGCAAAAAAAAAATATGGAAAAAATACATCTGTATTACAAAGATTGAAATATTAGATATATCACATATTAAGATTACATTTCGAGACACTCTGACGTTTTCTATTTCAATACGGTGCACTTTCCGTTTCGTTTTCAAAGAGATAATAGGTCCTAAAAATGGATTGTATTTATTTTTTTGACAATCGGGGGTAAAAATAAGTAAATAAATAATAGAAATGGGTGTCAATAAAGTTAGTTATTATAATTATATTATTCAATCATACATTTGATGCTTGATCGATTCGGAAATTTAATTGGCAAACGTGGAGGTTTGACGGAGTTAATTCGCTTTGAGGTTAGGTTCGGTACTTTTTAGAGAAAAAAATTCAGTGGACTCTGTCGTAGACAGGATACGCGGGGGACAAGTTGCGGTGTTATCTGAAATTTAGGGTGCAGCTTCGGCGGAAATTGAGCCAAGGCCGTGACGGAAATTCCCCTCGCCCCGTGGGAGACGACAACGCGCCATAAATTGAAGGTGGTTGCGTTTGAATCGAAGCGTGCCCCTTCGACGCGAAAATTGAGTTAAACACGCCCCTTTGCGCGGAATCTAGCGCGTGTATACGCTCTCCGTATGGGAAGCTCTAAATTGATGTACTTATAGCTACGCTACGCTACAATACGCGCCAATTCTTCGCGGATTTGATGTTTTGTGGAGTAATCAAGAAATTTTTTTGCTTTATCGATGAATAGAAATATTTCTGTTAACTAGAACTGTATTTGCTTTCTAAAGAAAGATATTGTGATTAATCATAGTTATTTAATTCAGTATGAAGTTTGATAATCGATAACTATTAGAATAATATGCAAAGGAACGTAATCTTTTTACATCTACTAAAGGTCATTAGTGTAATTTATATAATTCCTAAATTTTCAGATTTAAATCATAAAAATACTATAAGTTGTACAGAATATTCAAAGTATTTTCAAAATTGGCATACATGTAATATAAAGTTCTATATGATATTAGGTTTATAACCCCCTCTGTGATTGGATTACTGAAAAGCTGACCGGTTGATAAGTAACTCCTTTAAGGATGCAACCCGTCCGACTGTGGAATTGAACCATGTCGCTTCTTCAGAAGATCGAAATGACCATGTCTTCTCTACTGGAATATTTACGCTGTAAAAGAAAGACTATTTTCTGCTTAATATAATATACATTACATATTCCAACATCTTTATAGTTATTCAATGTATAGCAATTATATATTCAATACTATTTGCATAGTTTTCAACAATTTCAGACCATTCGGCTTTTAAATATGAAATACGCTTTTTCAGACTTCACTTTTGTCCTATTTAGCAAGATCTTCTTCACTGTGTTTCATGTTGTATGTATAAGTAACGATGCGAATAAAGCTTGATGTTCGCTTTTATGAATAAAGTTAGGCGAATTACGCGTAAGTTTCAGTAACGACTAGTAATAAGAATTTTCACTTCTATCAGCATATTCATCTCATCTTCATGATAAAGTTCTTCTAGTGTCATTGGATAAGAACTTATCTCATGTAGACTTTTCTCATAGACTTTATGATTTATCAAATTCCAAGTGCGCAACATTATCGACCGAGTCTTGATTCTCTTCTTCGCACACTTATCGATCGAAATATCGAATTTTCTCGGAGTACTCTTAACTTCAGATAATACTAAGTATTAAATGTAATTGAATTTGGAATTTTTATAGCCATTGTATATTTAATTTCATTGATAATCTATAAAATTGTGATACTTTAACTTTACGCCCTATTTAATTTCCAGTAAAATTCTCAGCTATGTTGAGCACGTAGAGGAGGTTAAACATGACCAGATGGGAAGCGTTAACGCGGCGTGACCTGTCGAAACTCTTAATTAAATTCAGGAAGTCTGGTACTAGGAAGTCGGCGATATTTGTGAGCACGAAAACGCGAACTCAGCAGCGAAGAAGAAGCACATTCTATTCGTGCATGAATTCTCGAGAGCTGCACACAAGTGCATTTCAAGTACTCGGTCAACAGTAGAGTCTTCCTTAAACACTCTGTACGCGTTTTAACGAGTCCCATTCAGTGTATCCCTCTTTCCACGTTTGCATCCTCCGTGTTCTTCTTTCCTTTCCCTTTACTCCCTTCCCTCTGTCAGTTTCTTATCTCTGCCATTTCTTTTACATTTTTCGCTTGTCTTACTTTTTCAATTCGTTTCCACCATTTTCCTTATTTCAGTCTACCATCCATTTCCTTCTCTTTTTCGTTTTATATTTCTGGTGTATTGTATGGTTTTTCTTTCACGTACTATCAAATTGTTCTTTTTTATAGTTTCATCTATGTTCCATTTCCATGTACGGTAACTGATGAAATTCGCAATTTCTGCATACATTTTCACATTGGTTTCAAATTTTATAAATATTATAATGTAATATATATATATAATATATAATACTTATATAAACTTTATTCCAACATCTTTCAGTAATACAATTAAATCAAATATGTATCATTTAGTTCAATAATCCTATATCATTTATTAGGTAGTGTTATTATTTTATCCGTGTAGCATTTGTATCGCTTTTGAGTGGTCTCAGAAAGGTTTCAGATTTATCTGACAATGTAGTAAAATCATGGTAATCCAGTCTTATTATGCCCTATCAATGAAATTTCAAAATTTTTTATATGATACACAATATATACAAAACTTTTTCATGGTAAATATCGAAATACTTGCGTCAGCTACTGTTTTCTCATAAATATACCTTTTATCAGCATTTCTTTCGTTTCCCCCACCATCTTGCTCGTCACTCGCAGGGTAGTTCCTCTTCAACGAACACCATTTATATCGGCACGGAATCGAGGGTGCGAACTCGTTGTATAACGCTCCTTTGTATGCAAACAAGGTGCTTGTTTCTAAATTGGGTTGCAAGTCGAGCCATCGTTAATTAATATATCTCGCGGTACTACCGAATTAAGCTCGCTAAGCGAGACGGCTGGGAGGCACAGCCTTTGCTACCGTCCGGATCCCGTATATACCCAAGTGGTGAGGATTTGCCCGTTAGTCCGTTCGTTAAACGACCACCCTGGGAGTCGTACCAATCATAAACGAAACGTCGCTTGAACGCCACGTTCTGGGATACATACCAGGTTTTCATGATTCATTCGTGACCGGCTTATCAATGCTTCCTAAATTTGTTGAAAATGAATTTTTATGGTATCTCGCGCTTATTTACCGTTGGTAAAGGTTCATAGAATGATAGCTATATAAAGTGATGGACAATATATTTATCATTGTAATAAAATATAATAATATGTGTAAATAAAAATTGTCAAAAGTGTGAAAATGTGTACAAACCAATATTTTTGCCTAGGTATAAGATAATGGTAAAAAATATTTTTATTAGCTGCATGTTCTCTATTCTATCATATTTGTCCTGTTTTTGAATGCAGGCAAATAAGACACAAATAAATATCCATATAAAGCATAAGTAGTATAGATAATGTTTTTAATAATAATGTTTGTATGAGGGGTTGCGTACTGTGCCAATATCCATCACTGTGTGCATAGATACTTATACATGATGATCAGTTTCTATGAAAGTTCCTATGAATAGCGATAAGATATTTTATTACAATTCCAAGAATTCAAACGTACATAGCCTTTAATCGGCGATTCAATTAAACCAATGACAGGCACGATGCCGCGTGCAATGCAGTACTTAACCTATCTGTGTTTATTGCCAGAATAATATATAGCCACTGAAAGCGTGGCTTCCTTCGGTAACTTAATAAATCTTCCGCTCACCTCTATGGAACAGCTATAATTACACCTGTTTAGAGCGAATAAGAATTAAGCACACCGTTCATAGCCTCCTTCTACGTTATCTGAAACTGATTCACGAGACTTGATTTGACCTCTTCTCAACTCCTAAGTTTCTTCTTCCTTGGTCATCATCCCTACGGGCTTTCGCGTTCAATTAAATCCCCAGGTTGGCGAATTTTATTTACCTTCGTCACGATTGCGCAGAGAGGGCGCCACCTCCAATTACCCAGCGTAAAAATGTAACTCGATATGAGCGCCTGTTATTCGAGATACGCGTAGGGAATTAAAAAATGCAATTTCTGTCTAACGAAAAATATACGCATGGTCGTGCAAAGGCACGCGTTTCGAATGGTGGAAGACTCTCGTTATATGGGAGATGGAGACGAGTGTTTTGAAATTCCATTACGAAACCAGATGAGGTTTGTGCACGAGGCGATTCATTAAAAGGTATATTTTCCGTCGGCGTTTTAACCTACGTCCGTTCGAAAGGGGAAGTTTTCTAGCGTATCATATTTTTCTCTCAAGCTGCATTCTCACTCGTTTTGCTGCCTGTTGATGTTGCACGTTTCAAATAATACCCAACATCTATCAACTTGTAGAAACATTTTGTCCACACTGGAGCAAAGTAATCAGTGGAACATTTTGTTTTCGTTGTTCACATACTAATGCGTTGTGAATCAACAACAGTAGGCAATAAACACTAACTTATATCAGTGCCAATAGAATCGGAAAAAACATGGAAGAACATTGCATCAACAACCAGTAACCTTCTCGAATAATACAGAACATTAACAAAAAGTCCCTTGTCGTTGTTTCAGTGAGGACGCAGCTTTAGCGTTATTTTGAATAGGAAAGGGGCCAAGAAGACGCGTGACGCGGGGAATTTTGATTAATCTCCATTATTTTTCAAACGTATCTCCGTAGCCGCCACTAGATGTCACGGTTTAGTTGGAAAAGGGACCGATCAGAGAAGAATGAGCATTATGAAAGCGGGAAGAAAGAAAATGAAACGTGCCCGTTAGGTTAGGTTGTTCTTATTTAATCTCGACGTATAATGAAGCTTAGGGTACTTCGAGATTCTGCCCCCGGGGCATCGATGGGCGTAACTATAAAAGTGGATTTGAATTTTAATCGTGGCAGGTTATGAAATATGTAATTTTCGTTTCGTTTCAATGTAAAGTAAGCTGATCGGATGCAACAGTAGGAATATCGTTTTTCTCTATTTATTTTTTATTTACTTGTTACCATTTAACTAGTTTTTTATTTGATTATGTTAATAATATTGGATCTAATAATTAATTGACGTTCACAGGTATATTGTAATCTACTTTTTCTCATTTACTGGTTTAATTTCAATCGTCTATCGAAGATTATTCAAAAATATCAGCCTGGTCATTAAAGTGCAGAGACATTCATTTTCTTGGAGAACCACTACTAACAGAGTCATTCGTTAATTCATACTGGGGATTATTTAAGCGACTTATTTATCCATCCCAGCTTGAAGCTCTTGATTCATTTCTATTACCAAAAACGAAAAACAGACCTATTGTGGCAGACACATGGAACTTGAATATTCTTTTTTCTTCGTATTCCAACAGTACAACCTTTAATGAACGTGGCAGAAGATAAATTGGTTTGATTAATCGGTTCTTCATCAACCTGATTAAATTCCAAACCTCTTTTTCACATAACTTGTATACAAAAAGCTGAGTCTTTTAAAATAACGTTAGTGTCCGAGTATTTCATTTATTGTGGCTTTCTCTATTCAATTCTACTTTTTTCCTTCTCGAAAACAATAAACAAGAATTAACCAATTCTTTTTCTTTTCAGATTTAACTTCCTTACTACAATGCCCTAAACCTAACCTCTTTACCATTGAACTTCTATACAAGAACTGAATCTTTCAAAGTAAGGTTAATACTTTAATATTTCGCTATTATAGCGATTGTTTTTCACAATCCAATTCTAATCTCATCCATCTGCAAATGTTCGACAAAAATGAACAGATTCTACTTCGGCCGGACTTAACCTTCTTACTTCGGTGCTCGGTCTCAACAACCTCACTTGAATTCCATCCCAAGAAAGGACAAACTCGAGCAGCGAAGCGTAGACGTGCTGAAATATGAATATTTTCGATTTCTTCCCGCGCCCCCGGGGGAGAATCCTTTCAGCCGCAGATGCTACCAGAGTTCACAGCGGCAACCAGTTCCTTCGAGTCATAAATACCTGGCGCGATCTTCGGGGAAGGGTTTCTGCGACCCTAAATCAAGGTCAGCAACGATGTACGTCGTCGTAGTCGCAGCTACTCTTCACTTTCGCATCCTCTAACTTCCTCGCGCCTCTTTCCCTAGACAGTCAGTGTGTGCAACAGCAGGGAATATGATTTAGTACTTTTGACAGGATTAATAATTTTCAGCGGCAGGGAGGTAGCAGATGTCTCGACATTTTCGCACCCCATTCTCGCGTCTTCTACGAGTGCCATCGTCGACTGCTAACGTCTCCTTCTTCCCTCTATTTTACTCTGTCTGCAGAGCAAGGTAAATCTGTCACAGTCTATCTATGACGAATTTTAGCTCCTTACGGGGATCTGTCCCTACGTGTTGTCTCTCTTCGTCATATTTTTCACCTGCGACATCTCTTTGTAGGGCGCTGAACCGACCCAGGTAACATCGGCGAGAAATGTGCGTGTTGAGCAGGATACACGCATTTTGAGGTTATGATGGAATTGGATTTTTTACTCGGAGTGGTTTGAAGATACAGGGGTTGATTTAAGGCATAATGGAACAGATTTGATTGGGGAAATAATTCGTGGTGTTTCTTTTATAAATGGAGAAGCGAAAAGAATGGATCTGATGGAGGAATTCGACGATGTAGGTTAATTTTGAAATACATCCTACTCAGTTTTTTCCTTCATTATATCTTATTATAGATTTCTCACAAAACTTTTATTTTCTGTTGAGGAAGCACTTATAATTTATTTCTCATCGTTGCAACGACATGAAGAGCGAGAAAGGTAGTTAAGCAAAAATGAAAAATTGTTAACGTTTACTTGATCAAGTTTTTGTAAGGCAGTTCCTAATGACCTGTAGAAAGCGGCAGGAACTTCTAGGTAACGATTACAGAGATGAAGAATCGAGAAGTAAAAAGTATCTCCTTTGTCGGCTTATGATTCATTCGTTCCTTTTTTGTTTGCTAGTTTGTTTCGTGGAAATAATCATTCGGATAATGCGGCTGGTTAACATTACCGGTAGCGTTCCAAACTTGGAACCATCCACACTGTTGACAATAACGCCCCGATAGTGATCTCGAAAGGAGGTGTGGGTGACAATACGGGTGACAAGCGTGTTACGCCAGTGCGAACAGGATTTAACATCGCCGTCTCATTTAGTTAAATCCTTTTTTTTCCCTTTGGAACAGATTTATGTCTGTCCAATTGGATAGATTTACATCTGCGTACACCTGCTCAATATATTATGTTTTAACACGTCGTTGCTTTGCTTAATACCATCGTAATTTATAATAATTTCATATGCCAATGTTGCTTGAAATATTTCCTCTTGTAAATTACATTAAGACATTTTTTAAATGGAGAAGTGCATAATTTATGTTGGAGGTTATTTAACTAATTAAATTTCTCTAAAATCAATGTACTCTGTTTTAGTAATGTTTCTTCAATTATTCGCTATTTAGTATATTTTTTAAATATTTGTCATCCTTTAGATTTTAAGTTTCATTTAAATATTACTGTTGATTCTTAAAAATTTCATTCGTTTCATTTACATTTAAACTAAATGTTTTGCAAGAAATTTTTTTAAAAATTTCCAATTTGATCATAGTGAGTGACATTGTTTAAGTAGCATTCCATATACATATTATCAAATTTATTTACATAATCACATTTGATCTTCAGCATGATCAATGTTTGGAACTATGTAGGAATCTTTTTGAGAAAAGTTCCTAAACTGAAGGATCGATGTATCTGGGGAAGGTAACTGCGTGAAATGCCGAGGGATACGATTACCAGAGTAACCATAATTTCTATCATGTGATGAAGAATCATTTATTAATTTTCCATCCGGAGAGACAATTTCTGAAATCGATCATCCCGATCAGCCCGCCCTCTGTAATTTCAACTATACGCATGCAATCACTGTCCGTGAATAAGTCTGCTGTTTTTTTCCCGTCTTGGGAAAAAACAAAACGAGAAGAGAGTATACCCTCAAGGACAGGCGTAAACACGTCTCGAGGTTATCGCCTCGATCCATTCGTTCGACTTAGCGCGGTATATTGGTGAAACGTAATCGCAGTAGGCCCTGAAAGTCTCGTCGTAAATCATTATTCTACGAGAAAAAAGTAACTATACATTCGTGATCACATTTTTTATTCATGAAGCGGATACTAAATCAATGCCTATTAAAAAATTTGCAAATTAATACGGTACCATGATTTTCATCACAATCATTTAAATTGCTTATTATTGGTTGTATGCATTCACCAATGACCTTGAAAATTCTGTTCGCTATAAAATATCCAGATACACTGAAATTAGTAACCTTATTCTCAGTAATAAATTTTTTTTTTTTAATTTTCCAAATATAAATACAGTATTCATTCTTTTAAATTAGTAATTAACCTCAATGAAGTTTTAGATTGTCTTGTATAGTTTATGTGGAACATATAACAGAACCTATATTATAAACAGAGAGCTAACAACAAAGTAAAAAAATCGAAAGATCGAATCCACAAATCTTGGCCCTCCGCCTTTGGTTATACGTCCCAAAAAACAATTCCTCGAAGTCACGCCAACTGATTGCCCGTAATTCCAACGTAGTGGCTGTAATCGTGTTCCCGAATAAAGACCTTTCTAAGAAGAAAGTCCCAAGGACAGTCACAAGCGTGATCCGAGGCTACCGCGGCGATGATTTTGTGCAAAAGATGATTCGAGCACAAGCCTTTAAGTACGTACCCGAAGAAATAACGTGCGTTAGAGGGGTACAGGGAGGAAGACCTCTGTTCAGGAGAGGGCAAGAAACGTAAGTAGTTCCACTGATACAGTACAGGTTTTTCGCGATTTAGCCATGCACTTTTGATTTCTCGTATATTCTCGATTTGATAATGCCAGAGTATTTGAATTGCAATTATATTTTTATGAATAAGAAATGTTACTAGATAGTTACTAGATAGTAACATATCAAAATCTTAGTACAAGGTTGACTATTATAGCATAGTCACAATTCAAGAAAATTAGATATGCATTTTTTATCTTTTTCTATCTTAAATTTTGGACCTTAATTATGCTTGTATTTTCATGGGTAAGAAATACTACTAGATACTTGCTAAATAGTAATATATCAAAATCTTAATACGGGGTTGGCCGTTATAACGTAGCTACAATACGAGCAAACTAGAATACATTTTAAAAACTAAAATACATTTTTGACGATTTTTATTTAAAAAACAAGAATTTAATATTTTTAACACTATTAAAAATGACTATTACAGTGAGTTGAATCTTTCCTGTTACACCAAAAATAATTCGAATTCGTGTTAAGCCCATCGCTATCCGAAGTGAGCGCGGTAATAGAGGCCAGGTAGGCGGGTCGCTGCGCACGAAAAGTAGGGCCCCGCGGCTCCGGGGAACGTTTTTCTCTAAATTACAGCTTC